AGTTCGGGTGTCGACGCAACCCAATCCTGAAGCAACATTTTGCATTTCGAGGGAGAGAATCGCATCCCGAACATGCCTGCATTGTTGCTTAGAGTGGTCAGCAGACTCTGCATTTTATCAGCGTCTTCACCAAGTAGAACTATGTCATTGGCATATTCTAAGTCAACAAGTGAATCTCCCGGTAAAAGTTCAACTCCTGGAAATTTAGATGAGGAAAGTGTTATTTCTAAAAGGACGTCAACGGCAAAGTTGAACAAGAATGGAGAGAGTGGACAGCCATGACGAACACCACTTGAGGTAATCAGTTCTGATGAGAGTTCGCCATAAGCTCTCACTCGGCCAGTTGTGTTCGAGTAGAAGGCCATTATAAGGTTGATGTACTTCTTTGGTACTTTCTTCAGTGACAAACACTGCCGTAGAACCTCACGATCAACAGAGTCGAATGCCGCCTTAAGGTCGAGAAATACTACCATTGTGGGGCGTCTGAATGTGTGTCTATGTTCTAGGACCTGACGTAGTGTGAATATCTGATCTACACAACCACGTCCAGTAAGACGTAGACAAATACGCGCTCGCACCAGAGCATGATCTGAGTCTAAGCATGTGCACCAGAATGAGCGACAGTCTTCTATCGAGCCCCTCCATCGGTGGCTGATAGCGATGTGATCTATTTGGGTCCAGCGTTGGGACCGTAGCTGCTACCTTAACGTGGTGGTCGGGCTTGCCTATCGTGTTGACCCGACCGAGCTATATTGGCTAGAACACATGTTCCTGCAGGTTCTATCATGCCAGGCAGGTCGATTGGAGAACGGTAAGACTAAAAGCAGCAACTCAAGGTCTGAGGGCGAAGTCGTACTGCTGACTGTACAGAGGTGTGACAGCAGTAAGGTGTTTCCCTCGGACAACCAGCATCTACAGCGATGCTGCCTTCTCACAAGGAAGGAAGAGGTTAGAAAATGTTGACCCTAAAAATGTCACACCTCACCTTACCCCACGGATTTCCATCTCCGGCGGTAAGGCCCTTTGAAGAACGGAGCTAACACATGAAAAACCTCCCACAAAAAAGCCGTGCGCGACCGGCCTCAAGCAGTTGTCCCTTGGGCTCTGCGGTCACGCACTGAGGTCGTTAAGACCAACACTAATCCGATTTTCTTTTCAGGTTCCTCAAGAAATACCCTTCCACGGTGTGGGCAACCGGGAAGTGACATCAGCCCTCATACCCGCAACAGCACACGAGACCAAGTTGGTCACATTCAAATCCTTCCTACACCTCCTAATAACTCTCTTATTTCCACGACTAACCCTTCTTACGTCCCTTTATCACCTCGCCCCGCTAGTGCAAACGACTCGAGTACGCGGAACGTTATTCCTGGTCTCCTGAAACCACGCTCCAAACTACACGTAGGAGCTTTCAACGTCCGAACACTGTGACAAATAGGACAACAGGATTCCTTAGCTAGGACTTTAGAATCTCGCTCCATCGATGTGTGCTGTGTCTCCGAAATACGCATACAGAATCCGAGTAGTGTCATTCATTTGACCTCACCATGTTAAACTAACGAACCAACTCGATTTACGCTCCGTGTATCTGGAAGCCCTGATGCTGCTTCCCGTGGCCTCGCTGGCGTAGGTATAGCATTGAGTCCTAGAGCAGAACTAGCTCTCTTAGACTGGATCCCAGTAGACAGTCGTTTGTGCGCTGTCCGACTAAACGGAACAGTAAGGACTCGAAAAGATAGGGACACTCGTCGTTGCCTCTTCGTCGTCTCTGCCTACTCTCCCACTGACTGCAGTTCAGATAATGTAAAAGATGAGTTTTACAGAAAGCTTTCCGATCTTCTCCGAAAAGCTAGGCGTTCAGATGTAGTAATAGTGGCTGGTGACTTTAATACTCAAGTAGGTAAACTAAGCGAAAAGGAAAGACACCTGGGTGGATCTTATGGTGTCGCGGTTCAAAGAACAGATAACGGCGACCGTCTGTTGTAGCTATGCTCAGATAACAGCCTGTTTCTTGCAAATACTAACTTTAAGGATAAGGAAAAACATCTTTTAACATGGCGACCCCTAATTCGTCCCAACGCTGGACCCAAATAGATCACATCGCTATCAGCCACCGATGGAGGGGGCTAGATAGAAGACTGTCGCTCATTCTGGAGCACATGCTTAGACTCAGATCATGCTCTGGTGCGAGCGCGTATTTGTCTACGTCTTACTAGACGTAGGAAAGATGGTACAAGGAAACCTCTTAGGGTCCTACCTAATGACAGTCAAGCTAAGAGTATATTTCAGGAACAACTAGAAAAACAGTTAGGCAGCCATGTAAGTGATGCCCACCCCGAGGCAGCGTGGAATGACATCCGAAAAGCTGTAGAAACAGCAGTGATGTCTGCAAGTACGGTAAACCATAAGGTTAGGGAGTAACACTGGATCTCAGCAGCATGTACCGCACTGATAGATGCTCGAAAACTCATTCCATCTGGTTCTGAACATAACGAAGAGCGGAGTCAGCTTAAGCGTAAGCTGACTAGAAGCCTTCGCAATGATCGTGAACAGTGGCGGGTAGCGAAAGCAAGACAGATGGAAAAGGCAGCGGCAATAGGTAACAGCAGGCAACTTTTCAGACTTGTTAAGGAAACCGGTATTAGGAACCCAACTGTTAGCGAAACAATCGCAAAGAAAGATGGACATATTATTCATTCTCAATCCAGGAGATTGGATCGATGGGCAGAATACTTTAGGGATCAGTTCAACTGGCCTTCAGCCACACTTCGATTTCCCACGATCTCCAGTCGACCTGAATGGCAAGTTGATGTAAGTCCTCCGAGTTTTTACGAAGTTGAAAAAGCTATAGGAAATCTGAAGCGTGGGAGAGCAGCAGGCCCTGACAGGTTTACCCCTGAGATTTTTAAGGACGGCGGTCCAGTATTAGCAGCGAGATTGACTGAGGTCTTGGGTAGAATCTGGGAACTGGACGTAATCCCATCTGACTGGTTTTCATGTGTTAGCTCCGTTCTTCAAAGGGCCTTACCGCCGGAGATGGAAATCCGTGGGGTAAGGTGAGGTGTGACATTTTTAGGGTCAACATTTTCTAACCTCTTCCTTCCTTGTGAGAAGGCAGCATCGCTGTAGATGCTGGTTGTCCGATGGAAACACCTTACTGCTGTCACACCTCTGTACAGTCAGCAGTACGACTTCGCCCTCAGACCTTGAGTTGCTGCTTTTAGTCTTACCGTTCTCCAATCGACCTGCCTGGCATGATAGAACCTGCAGGAACATGTGTTCTAGCCAATATAGCTCGGTCGGGTCAACACGATAGGCAAGCCCGACCACCACGTTAAGGTAGCAGCTACGGTCGGGATTTCATAGTTACATAATATACCCTTGTGGGCCAGGGTAATTTTACATCGGTTTTCAGGAGAACCAGACACCGTCCAGACTTGCACGTGACAACCCAAACAGTACAGTCCAAGCCCGTTTAACGGGAGCCAGACACCGTATAGGCTTTGACGCTACAATCTGAATAGTGCAGCTCAATCCTGTGGCGCAACCACACAGGTACCAAGCACCTTTAGGGAAGAGGTGATTGTTGAGCGACTTCAACATATGTGACTATTAAGAAGTTCCTGTATCTGTGACTGCGGCAATCAAATGAATGCAGCACGATGTGCAGACTACCGTGACGACATTATATTTCGTTGCACTGTATGTTGGAGAAAAAAATCTGCTCGAACTGGCACTTTCTTTGCCCGGTCACGGCTCAGGCTAAGACAAATCATGATAATTGTTGCAAATTGAATCATAAAGTCTCCAGTAACATTAGCTGTGGCTTTTGCAGATGTTACGAAAACTTCCACCGTTCAGTGGTATGAATATTGCTGTGGTATATGCGTAATGAAAATGACACGAGCACATGAATCATTTAGAGGAGTTGGAAAGATAGTGGAAATAGATGAGACAGTAGTTAGAAAGTGAAAATACAACAAAGGACGTTTTATCAAGGAAGATTGGGTAAGTAGAACTTCTGTGAATATACTTGACAGGTACTTGGATTTTATGATCGTTCAACTCGAAAGGGACTTGGTTTTGTGCATCATGTTGTAGTGCACAAACGTCATTTTGTCGATCCAACGACGGGGGTTCATACAAACTATATTGAAGGCATGTGGTCTAGGCTGAAGTCTTTTTTAAGACCCTACCACGGCTCCAGAGGACAATTATTATGGAGCCATATGAACGAGTTCCTATACCGCATTCATTATGATTTCAAAACTTCTGAACCTTTATCAAACCTTAACAAGTTCTTAAATCGTGTAAAAGAATAATATCCATTGTAATTCATCAGTTTTTTGTAATGTATTTTTACTTTATACTAACTCTCTTCTGATTGGCTAATATTCTCAAGGTCACCTAAACATACGTTCAACGGTCGTCCATAAAATGGAGTTTCACCGAGTAGTGAATTACTGAAATCCCCTGGCAGAAAACGTAATATCAGCACCTTCTGTTGATGTATTTAAATCGTTGTTGGACCTTCACAATGTTACAAAGTGCAAGGAATAATATAGGTCAATAGACCACCTATCCTCATTACTGAAGACACTCGTGGTAAACATAGAAGTACGCAGATGGGTCTTAATATGACTTGTCGGGATCATATGAAGCTGAAACTTTTTCTGCCCTGCCCCTCATGAAACGAAAGACTGATAGAAGCCCCGTAACTAGTTTGTAAAACTGAAGGATTCTGAGGGAAACTTCAACAGATTTAAATCGAAACTCTTAAGGGTCTGTGATGATAAAGTGGCGTACACCTATAACTTCACTCACATAAAGTAAACCACGTGGAAATGGTAAACAATAACAAGAAAAATGCGTCGTTTTTATAGTTAAAATATTTATAGACAACGTAGTATGTATGAAAAATAGTGGTGAGAACAAAAGCACAATATATTTTCGTCTTAAGCTTAGGTCCTTAATAAAATAAGTCGAAAATATTTTCTTACCAGGTAGAACGCGTTTAAACCATAAGCCTATGCGGCTACTTTTCTTCCCAGAAGGATACTTAGACGACATTTACTTCCCACAAGTATTTCCAGTCCAAACCTGGCGCTAAATAAGGTATTTTTATTTTGGAGCGGGAAGTTTTACAGTAATTTAGAAAAATAAAACCACAATAACGAAAAACATCTTGTTAGTACACATCATTTAGTAACGAGTCACAGAGGACCAATACACTTATATTCACTTTATGAGGAATAGGTTGTGAAGCGAAAGATAACGCTGGATTCGTTGAAGACGGACTTTCTTACAATACAACTATTTCAATAGTTGAAATCATGAATCATTTGAAGCTAGACCACCATGGAAAACCTGGAAGCACTGGACGGCCATTTCGTCCTAGTATGGGATTCCTCAGCAGTGCGCATCCACGATCCCGCACCCCGCGGGATTCGAACCCATGACCTATCAGTCTCGCGCCAGGCGCTTAACCAACTAGGCCACTGAGCCGGCATCCAACGGTGTTAATGTCTAACTTCAACTACAACTATTTATCTTCTGACATAACTTCTAGGTACTTTATATTTTTATCTAAATATGAATTTAAGCTCTTAAGTGAATAGACTTACAAACTCTATTGGTTTCGTTCAACCTTCCATAGAATTTAATCAGCTGACATCTTTACTCAACTCGCATTGCAGCATAGTGCACACGTATATGTACGTCGTGATTCATTACACTGACATATTGACTCATTCTATGAAGATCTCTTCAAGGTTGAGACTCGTGATCCTGGAACTGCACCTCCAAAATGGGCGAACTGGAGATAAATTTAAAATAGACTAATTGAAGGCTGAGTGTGGTATGTGCTACTTATGTGGACATAAGTAGTATATGACGTGAGTACTGAACAGAATGTCTGGCAGCACAGAGACAAGAAGATTGAACAATAAAGAATGAAGAAAAAAATGCAAATTGTATGAAAATGCAAGAACAAAGGGATTCTGAGTCATTTGACACAATTGATGAACAATTTGCAGATTAACGATTTAATAATATATGGTTGTTGAATTTTAACTCGACCTGTAGCTCTTCCAGAATTACTGCCGGTCCCAAGCCCGGGTAAAGGAGGAGAGTTGGGCTTGGGGTTAGCGACCCCATCCCGTAGAAAACTAACTCGCTAAAAAAACGCTAACCAGAAAAAATTATTCAAACAATTTGAACTTCGCCCTGAGAGTTAGGTCTTCATTTAAAAGAAATATGACGCCTCATGGTGGAAGCCTAGTTCCTTCGGAAACCACGAGGCCGATGCCCCTTCTAACAACTAGAGTAACCATTTTCATAGGTACATGGAACGTCCGGACAATGTGGGAGACCGAGAAGACCAGTCAAATAGCAAAGGAATCAGCGAAACCCATTGGACCGAAGCTGGACAACAAAGGCTAAATACAAGAGAGATGATGCTGTACTCCGCTCACGAAGAGGAAAATGCCCAACACACTCAGGGAGTTGCTCTAATGCTATCCAAAGTAGCACGAAATGCACTTGTAGGATGGGAATCTCACGGATCCAGAATCATCAAAGCATCATTCAAAACAAAGAAGGAGGGGATCACAATTAATATTATCCAACGTTATTCACCCACAAATGATAGCAACGACGACATTAAAGATCAATTCTATGAGAGGCTGCAATCAATCATAGAGAAGTGCCCAAGAAAGGACCTCACCATTCTGATGGGAGATCTAAACGCCAAAGTCGGAATAGACAACACCGGATATGAAGATATTATGGGACTGCATGGAATGAGAGAGAGGAATGAAAACGGGGAAAGATTTGTAAATCTGTGTGCATTCAATAAATTGGTCATAGGCGGCACAATATTTTCACACAAACGTATACACAAAGCTACATGGATCTCACCGGACCACACCACAGAGAATCAGATAGATCATAATTGCATCAATAAAAAGTTCCGAAAGACAATGGAAGATGTGAAAACCAGGAGAGGAGCGGACATAGCTTCAGATCATCACCTGGTTGTGGCCAAACTGAAACTGAAGCTAAAGAAGAACTGGACAACTGGACAAACAGCACCACAAAGGTTCAATACAGCCTTCCTTCGAGATACTAACAAACTCAATGAATTCAAGATAGCTCTCAACAACAGGTTCCAAGCCTTACAGGATCTACTGAAGGAAAAAGAAACTACTACGGAGAACAACTGGAAAGGTATAAAAGAAGTATTAACTTCAACGTGTCAAGAGGTTCTGGGCCCCAAGAAACATCATCACAAGGAATGGATTTCTATAGAAACACTGGCAATATCAAAGAAAGGAAGAACAAGAAGACAGCAATTAACAACAGTCGAACAAGAGCAGAGAAAGTCCAAGCACAAGCTGAGTACATACCTGGGGAGCATCGTCGATAAACAAGGAGGTTCAGATGCAGACGTCAAGGCGAGGATTGGCAAAGCTAGAGCGGCATTCCTTCAACTGAAGAACATATGGAACTCAAAACAACTTTCAACCAATATCAAAGTCAGAATCTTCAATACGAACGTCAAGGCAGTTCTATTGTACGGAGCTAAAACTTGGAGAACTACAACAACCACCATCAAGAAGGTACAAGTATTTATAAATAGCTGTCTACGCATGATACTCAACATCCATTGGCCGGATACTATCAGCAACAGCCTTCTGTGGGAGACAACAAACCAACTTCCAGCTGAAGAGGAAATCAGGAAAAGACGATGGAAATGGATAGGACAAACACTGAGGAAATCATCAAACTGCATTATGTGGCAAGCCCTAACTTGGAATCCTGAAGGGAAGCGAAAAAGTGGAAGGCCAAAGAACACATGACATCGGGAAATAGAAGCAGATATGAAAAAGATGAATAAGAACTGGAAAGAGCTTGAAAGGATTGCCCAGGACAGGGTTGGATGGAGAATGCTGGTGAACGGCCTATGCTTCTTCACGAGGAGTAACAGGCGTAAGCAAGTAAGTAAGTGTTGAATTTTACTAAGTAGTTCTGTAGTTTGTTGTTAAATACATTCGATTTTCTCCACTGGTATTCTTGTTCACTACATGAGGACCTAGAAGGCAGACGTTTAGCAACCTAATCGCACGTTTTCCCTGCGAAATTTAGTAATTGTGCAATTTTGGTTTGTTTTTATGCAATAGGAATGTTTAGGAATACTCTATGAGCTTACACTGGTTGTTGACTCTGCTCGCAAAACGTCCCGATTTGATTCGTTAATTGTGTAATATCATAGCAAACTTTCTCATATTTTACGGTTTGGTCTTTCTTACTCGGAAAATCCATTATGTTTGTTGTTTTTTGAGTGAATCTATGTGGTGTTGATAAACAGGAAGTTTGTACAACACAAACGATGGAGTTAAATGTAGCAGAATCTATCCCGTATCATCACTGATAGTGAACGCATACGTGATATATTCTAACATTCGGACACACAAATTAATCGGACGCTTTTATATGGCTTGTACAGATATGTTTTATATGTCAACTGTTCACTTGTAATCCCAAGTGTTTCCATTTTAGCACATGTGTTCAAATATTTGTTTATCACGTACACCATTCGTCTTTAACTCGTTTTTGTCTGTCTAACTACAAGTGCAAAGTCATGTTCGATGAATTTGAGTAGTCTGTGAAGCCTTTCACAATATCACTCTTACAGCATGTCTGAACACATGAGTGTCTGAAAAAGATCACTGCAACAGAATTTGTAATTGGCGTTTTTATTAAAGAAAGATGGAATTTCGTCAACCTAGTTCAAGGCCTTGATGCAATAGGCTACTTAGTTCAACCTTAACACTAACAGATGCGTGAGTTTGATTGTGACTGAAAACTCTTGAGGAGGTGAGAAAACCATCCGATCACCGACCTACAATCTGATTGACTGCCAAACGAAGAGAGAAAGTACCGATAGGTCTTAACTTTTACTCGATTTGTTCCTGATTTAGATTCACTCGAAAAAACCACATAAATATATATACATGGCTAACAAGACCACAACGTACAGAGAATATAATTGTATAAACTAGTGCACTTTGGCAGAACTAAGTACTTAGGCTATGTATAAAATACAGTTGTTCTGAGTGAGAACGTATTGTGATGGCGACTCATATATTTTGAGTAAGATTATAAATCAAAACGGGACAAAACTAAGTGTCACTACTTTACAGACTTCGAACTAAGCGAAATAATATCCTGATGAATAAATCGCCGTTACCTCCCTATTTCTCTCTTCACGTCAATTTTGCACCGTAAACAAAGAATTCAAATAATCTTAAAATACGATTTTACGTATATTTTACATTGACAAAACAGAACACTTTATGAGCTTAGTGTTTTTCCATTATAACCATGCGATTTGTTGGATACGCGTGATCTTTTTCGCTATGTATATTTTTTCATATTCCAGGCCTAAATGAAAGATAGATACGTCAAGGAAACATCTAAAGAATCCAGTTAGTTTTTGAAATTTCGTTCCGTGTATATCCATAATTCATTATATGACCGCTTAGTACAACGAAAGCAAGTCAGACGCTACAGGATGTTGTAGGTAATCGTGAGACTTTACCATAAGAACCCCTGATGAATTCGTGTTTCCGGATGGATGCGCCCTAGGGCTCACATAGGCAAGGGTTTCTTTTGTAGGTTTTAGACCATATTATAGAGGAGATTCAGAAACCAGTGAGGCTAATTTTTCTCTTATTTGTAAACTCTAGAACCGCAAGAACTCTAAACTGAGCTTATGTATCGACGTTGATATGATAATTGAGGACTCACTTATATGAAAGAACAAAGATGCTACTACCCATCGATTAGGATGTTTTAATAATGTAAAGATAGGTATAAAAATTAATTAAGTAAGTAAGATTAGAGCACTCAGATAAGCAGGAGAAGCTGGCATAATACAATGGTATCAGAGATTCATGAAACCAAATGCTGAATTTCTGTCATGGACTCTTGCTCTTTTTCCAGAACGCGTTGTTTTGAGTTTATTTTCTGATATTGCCGAAGTATCAACGTGTGTGTTGGCTGTCGATTGGGGTATTATAAGGGCAGGAGTTGTGTCGTGAGATTGTATTGAGGGAAGGGTCGTAC